GGTAGTTTGTTAATGTGGTGGATCACAGTGACTGATTTTTGAATGTTAAACTCACCTTGCATTTCAGGGATAAACCCCACTTGATCATGATGTATTTAACATATTTTTAATATATTCTAGGATTAGATTTGCTAAGTTTTCATTTAGAAATTTTGCACAGATGTTCGGAAGCGATAGTGGTCTGTTATAATCTTTTCTGTAATTTCTTTGTCTAGTTTTGGTATTAGGGTAATTAATTCTATCACAGAATGGGTTGGAAAATATTCCCTCCTCTTTACATTTCTAAAAGGTTTGTGTAGAATTGGTATTATTTCTTTTTAAATTATTTGTTAGAATTCACCAGTAAAGGTGTCTGGACCTTGAGTTTTCCTTGTTGGAACTTTTTAACTACAAATTCAATTTCTAAAAACAGATATAGGGTTATTAAGGTTGTATAATTCTTCTTGAGGAAGATATGGCAGTTTGTGTCTTACAATGAATTTGTCCATTTCATCTAAATTGTTGGATTTATTGGCATAAAGTTGTTCCTAATATTCTCTTATCCATTTATATAGATATGATTTGTTCTAATATAAACTCTCTCATACCTGATATTGGTAATTTGTTCCCTCTCTCTTTTTTCCCTATTATATCTGAAGGTTTATCAATCTTATTAGTATTCTCAAAGAAGCAAATTTTTGTTTTACAGACTTATTTTTTCCATGTTCTATTTCATTATACATACTCTGATCTTTATTATTTCTTTTCCTTGCCTACTTCTTTTCCTTGCCTGCTTTGGGTATAATTTGCCCTTCTTCTGATATGGGATCTTTTTCCTTTTATAATATAAAGTGCTAGAGACTTTACTATAAGTACTACTTTAGAGACATCTCACAAGTTTTGATATCTTTTTTTCAAGTTTCAGATATTTATTAATCAGTGAAATCCCCCAACAAATTACATCAACTTGATTTGATGCATTTAGAGGAGACCTATTTCCTGGTTAAATGGAAAATTGTGCACATGGCTTCTGGAAGACCTTCATTCTGAGCAGCTGTACAGTCGAACACTGAGGTCTGCACCTTCTTTCTTTGGTTTGCTGTAAACCACATTCACTGAATAGAACTTGTATTGATCATTAGGACCCAGTTCGTTCCAGGGTTCTGGGTTATTCTTTCTGTCCCAAATGACATCTGGATTGAACAATGCCAGACGCAAGACATAAATATTGCTCCAGTACTTCCAGCTCCAATAAATATGAAGAGGGGAATCAAGCTTGGATGCTTCTTGGCCCAACAAGGGATCTGGCAGAGCATGTTTGCAGCAGAGTCCTCTGGTCCGAAAGGAGAGAAGATCAAATCTGCCAGGCTCAAGACTAAGTCGTCTCT